TATCGAGAATTTAAAAATGGAATTCACGACGTATAAACGCGGTGAAAAGTTGATTCGAATTTATCGGTTCAATTTTAATTTTTCGTATACACGATTATATTATTAAGTTATATTGTATGTGATATTTTTGGTAGAAGTCAGAGATGCAGAGCACCGACATGAGGCGACATCGAATATCGGCCGATATTAGCAATATCGGAAAATCGGTTACCTTTTTTTTTTTAACCGATATCAGACCCGATATTTTTCGAAAAAAATGGTGCTCAGTTTAATAAACGCGTTACTATAACTTCATATAGTATGTTGTATATAATACATATTTATTATATATTTAAATTATAATGGTAAAAATCGGGTATCGGATTTTTTTTTTTAAATATCGGATACTTTGAATATACTGTTAAAGATAGAGAAACGGGAGAGTGTAGAACAAGAAAAAGTGAGAAATAGGTAAGGATGTTCCGGAAAGAAAACATCTAAAGCGTAATCAGAAACCGAAGACTTCAATGGGCTGGACATGCTATGCGAAGTCAGAACCGTCTCATAACCACATAAGGATGATCATGAACGAGAACCCAGTTGGTAAGAGACCACTGGGAAGACCATGATTGAGGTGGAAATATGTGATAAGAAAAGACGCGTAAACGCTGAATGGAGGACGGGATTAGAGAACAAGAGCGGTGGATAGGAAAGGATGGAGGACTGGATGTGTGATAGGATGATCTTGATAGCGGGAAAAACCCAAGAATAAGAAGATATTGGAAAATTGGCTCATGGTTTCAAAAAAATATCGGATCGGTTATCTGTTTAAAATCAGTGGCAAATATTTGAATATCGGATATCAGAAAAAAGTCATATCAGCTCATTACTAATTTTTGGTGCTTACTCCTTATTATTGTTTTTTCTCTGCAAGTACAAAGAAAATCGTCGGGCACAAATTTAAAAAAAACACCCGTGAACAGCAGAGCTTCGCCACTAAAGCCGAATTTTCCCCTGAGGCCGATCTGTCGCAATACAAACAATTTTTTTTTTTGGATAATTGGAACGAGTGCAGCCGTTTTTTTCGTTTTTTTACATTTAACGAGACAACTCCTAAGAAAATCGAAAAATGACTTCTCTAAAGTACCTTCCAATTAGATTTCCTTTAAGGAAAAATGCTATTATTATAAATTGAATCAAAATTGCTGGTAGAAAAGTTGTCTACAGAAAAAAAAAACATCATTGTAGAACCATAAGCTTCTTCGCTCCACTCAGAATCTAATACAATTAGCCATCTATAAGCTCGTAACAATTTTAAACGTAATTTCGGGCCAGTAAATATGTAAATGGGCCGCATAGAAATGAAAATCTCGGCTGATACATACCGGCCCTGACCATTTCGTGAAAAGAAAAAATATGTATATTAGATTTAACAATATTATTGCGTGTATTATGTATGTATTCTGGTTACTCATCCGTCCCGCTTATCGAATTCTGCAGTATCCACATACCAATATTTTATGCAAATCGCGCGATAATAATAATTAAATGTTATAAGTTAGCGAGTTAAATACTATATCTATATTAAGATTTATTTCACGAATCGTGCATAACGTTATAGTAATAATAATGTTTTTTATAGTTTGCAGTCTGCCGATTTCGTTTAGTGTAATAAATATGTTTGTTTTTTTTTTTTTTTTCGTACACTAAATGTCAGTAAACCACTTTTCCAGAACCAAAGTTCGTTTAAAAATACATAAGTATAGTCGCATCATGACGGCATACATAATTATATATTCTGAAATGCCTAATACAACAGCGTGTTCGTACAGTAGGTATAGACTATAAACCGTTTTAAATTATTTTATAGGATTGTGTTTTATTTTATTATTATTATCATTATACGTTATGAACGTAAAAATTATAATAGGTTTTTTTTTATTTTTATATCATATCATTGCTGAACGCATATAATTATAAAAATCGTCCTATAGACTATATTATATAATAATAATAATAATAATAGTTATGTGTGAATGCGGTTTATTGTCGACCGCGATAATAAAAATAAATATTATACACTTAACAATACTATCGAATGTTGCGGGAATATATTATTATTTGTAATATATACGGAAAGTTACTATAAATATACGGGTTTTTTTTTTTTTCGGATCGGTGGCGTAAATTGGGTTAGCAGTTGCACCACCACATTTGAAATCTGGTGTTGCAAGTTTATATTTTTGAACCACCAGAAATTCATAAAAATGTGTACACCTATAATTTCTATTTTCAAAAGTTTATATTTTTTGTTGAACAAGTACCTATCTATAGGTTTTCTTTAAATATTATAATAACAGAGTTTTCACTATTAAAGTACTTCAATACTTATACTATATTGATTTCATAAAAACGGATTTGGTACATACAGAAAAATAATCTGGTTGTTAGATGGCAATTTACAAAAGAAGTTGGACTGTCGGTGGGTTAAAAATTAAATCGATTTCAATTCTGTGTTGTAAACCTCATCGGTTTTTATAATTCAGATAGGTAGCAACTTGACTTTAACCGGTTGAAAAAAAATTTACCGACTCGCCCGGCTTTGATCGTTCATATAACGATATTATGTGCCGCGCGTGTATTGTATCGTGCGAAAACGCGGGGGAGATAAAAAAAAAATTATCGTTTCTCGCGCGCGGATGGTCCCCGGTTCGGTGCGGATATCGCAATATTATATTATTGCGCGTGTAACGGGCGTGCGCGAGTAAAGGACGTCCCCTTCGCGGCCACGGGAAATGACCCCCTGGCGGAAAAATCGGACGTATTACGCATAATCGGTATACTCGCGGTGCCTATGCCTGTATAAAGAATCGCGATATTGTTACTAGGGCTGTGCGTTGAAAACGCAGTGAAACACCTTAGAAACGGGCAAAAAAAAAAAAACATTAAAATACGAATTCAAAGCCTCGAGGAACTTAAATATGAAAATGCGCTCAAAACAACGGTTTTTATTTTAAATTTTTATATTTATTACCGACGTCGCTGATATCGATAAACCGAGAAGCCCACGAATAACTATTAATCTAAGCGATATCGCCTCGTTTTATCGAATTCTTATCTTTACCAGCTAAATAACCCGTATACTGCATGCTCGTGTAAAATATTATTTTATAAAATACACCTTGAAAATACAAAATAAAAGTTTCATAAACGAATTTGTTGTTGCATATAATTCAAATTATGTACTTAGCGAGCTACGTGGTCACAATCAGCTGAACAAAATGCACTTTCCTACAAATTCACAGCCCTTATAATTGCATAAGAGGTGCCTAGAACACAAAGTAGTATATAAATAGCAATTTCCACAAAATCCGAGCCAAGCGCACGGCCGGACTAAACATTTTCCATTTTATTTCGCGACAAAGAATTAACATAAGTGCGAATTATTCGTCGTGTGCAGCGATCTATAGTATACATATATACTAAAACATTCTTCGAATTAAAATGCCATTATAATATATATTGGAAACAAAGAAGTACAAGCGTCCACAATTGCGCGGTTATTAACACACTATTATTATGTCGCTTTACCGTCAAGCGTTTAAACGTTTTAAACGTACCATTCGAATACAAAAACAGTGCGATGATAATATTATATTAAATACTTGATGACTTTAAACTGAAAATCGGTAAAATATCACTTACGCCCCTTAATGTGTTCTGAGTGTCTCATATAGTTCACGCAGTTCGATCGAAATTACTCCTTTTGTGTACAATTATACGTGTGTATTGTATGTATGTATTTTGTATGTATTTTGTGCAATAATTGTCATTTTCACGCGAAAATACTCCGAACGGATTCGTATTATTGTATCGTGCAGCACGCGCTACGAATAAAATCACGAAATGTGCAGGGAACAAAAAAAAAAAAAAATACGCGTTTGCGCGTCAAACACGCGATCGAAATACAATAATGCCTCATCGTTACAAAGACGAAAATAAAACGGCGAGCTTGAAATCGTAAACCATACTCGTAAAACTGCCGTTTAAAATAACGCAAAAAATTTTCTGTGTTCACAACATACATTATAACATAATACGTTTTTGTTCTTGTTTTGTTTTTTAGATACTACGTACAATTACTAGCCAAATATTATCCCGCTATCCGGACGAAAAAAAAAGCGATTATATAATATTAAATGGTCTGTCGGTTTAACGTGTCTCCCCCGTTTCCACATCACGCGTTAATCGTTGTCAAAATCCGGTATAATTTATCTTTTAAAAAGGACATACGTCTTCCTTGCCGTTACAACCGAATTACATAAACAATATGTACAGTTACTGCAGTTCGACCGATAAAATTCAATAATTTGCCCATAACAAAATATCGAAAAATCTAACGCGAGCCACCCAAAATTAATTTCGTGATAGAGAGTAGACAGCGCCCCTCCTCTTATATTCTGAATGTCAATCATGCAAAATATCATCAAGATCGGAATGAAACGGTACATTTCTATAGTGGACACACATATAATGTATGCTTAATTCGCACACTGCAGTGGCAAAACGAATCTAAAATAACCCAGAAACGACGTATATAATCCGCCCTGCAGTATCCACCCATCAATATTTCCCAACATTTCTCATTATAATCCAATATTTTCAATAAACGAGTTCCGACGTTCAATTATTTTCCTATTGAGCGATTGCCCATTCCTTAATTTAAAAAGAAAAATTGAGAAGCATTTGTTTCTCAAAGACCGCGTTTGAATCTTCACTGCATACATACATGCACACATACATACATACATGCACGCATACATAAACACATAAAGAATTTCAATGCTATAAGATTTATAATTTTTTAAGATAATACGACCAACCGGAAAAAAAATAATATTATGCAAATGCGTTATATACGCAAATCCGAACCCTATACAGTCGTCCACGCCATACATTTTTCCTATATAAATTATGATATTTTATAATTGAATTATATGTCTGCAGCACAGCAGCAACACTGCGATTGTATACAGCTAGCTGTGTGTGTGTGTGTGTACGTACTGTCTGTGTATGTTTAATAATATTTATATATATGACTTGTATATGTGTGTGTGTATTGTGTGTGTGTGTGTGTGTGTGTGTGTGTGTTCAATTATCATCGCCGTATACCGACGACGACGACGACGACGAGACATTATTAATAGAATCTCTTGGGGTCCTCGCCGCAGCCGCCGATGACATCCGCGCCACAGCAGCAGCATGCGATTTCCCCGGGTACACACATAATGCACATAATAATAATATTATATATACAACTGGCTTGTATTCGTTGTTCTGTACGTTTATACCGGATATACGCTCTTGTTCTAATGATCGAGGCCGGATTCGCTATAACGTACGGGCGAAATACTGTAAGCATTCGAACGCGTATGCCGCCCAGCGAAAAAAAATTCAGGCTGAAAAATAGGCTCGTAGGTATTTCAAAAAAAAAAAATATCTAACCTGATTTTAAGATTATGGTCGCGTCCAGTCTGCGTATGGTAACATTATATTTTTTTTCGACTCTTTGATTTCATTTGTTTTAAATTTATATGACCTCTCTCTCTCTCTCTCTCTCTCTCTCTCTATACCACTACCTCCTCGCCCGACGGGATAAAATTCCAGAATACATATATAAATATACACATCGCCACAAAAGTGTCTTAACATAACATTATTTCGAGCAATAATAATAATAAAACTATCGTATACAATTTTCGATTTATAATATCGGTACTTTGAAGTAAGTATACCAATTATGAAATAAATGACATAGATACTTAACGAGTCTGAACCGCCGATATGCAAGCAAAACCACAAGAGTTATGAATTTATAATTTGATCGCCTCGTCTCTACACCCCGATTAAGGGCTGCAATCATGCCCTTATATATAAGTTAAAACCAACCGGGTAGTCGATTTTAAATTTGTATAAACATTTCACATTTATCAAATGTATTATTTGAAAATTCGATAATGTAGACAATGACAGCATTGTCTATGTAAGCACCGCAATACTTTGATTAGTTGAAAGCAGAGCGTATACATAAATAGGGGGTTTTAGGGGCTCGCCCCACCAAACTTTGCCGAGTCAAAATATTGACTATAATACTGTACAAAATAAGTATTCAAATGTTAAAACTATTCAATTAGTCACGAATATATTCGATAGTTTTAGAACTTTTTTTTATAGGAAAACAGGTGATAACAATACTGCGATTATAAATATTAATACTATTATGCTTTTAATCTTAAAAATAAAAATTCGATGCCACCGACGGTCCTAATTCTAAAAAATACAATAGATCATTGAGCTACTACTTAGAATAGGACGGCGACCCGTTTACCGATAAAGATAATTAATTAATTAATAGTCAAGTAATAACTTATGAATTGAAATATTCGAATAGCACTATCGAAAAGTTCGTAAAAATAAAACTATTTGATAGTTTTTATTGAAAAATTACTAATCGGTTATGTTTTGAAAACATTCGATAGTGTTCGATAGTGCCCATCACTAGACCTAACTACTGTGCTACCTATCAGATGTGAAACATGACTGAATATTCCATATTACTTTCTTCTTTCATACTATTTTATAAGTGAAACTTCTTTTCTGAGAATATAGGCGTAAGGATTTGAACTTCGGTTTTAAGTGTCACAAAACTAAATCACCCCTTAAAGTAGTATGCTTTTTCTGTACCCCGCTCTAGTACTACCACCGTCGCTCATAACGCTGATCATATACCATTATCCCATGAAGTATACTCAATAACCCTGTGTCATATCCCAACACTACTAACCCCCCTTTTATCTCAAAAAAATTGTATTATCATCTCGTTAGTTTTAAAAATAACGACACCGGATGATCACACAACTTAACAAAAATATAAGAATTATACGTGTATATTGTATATAAAAAACGAAACACCAAACAAAAACAACGGATAAGCACGAGGTTTGTGCGAAATAGTCGCGAGTTTGGACATAATATTATGCAAGTTAAAAATAAAATACAAAAAATATCGTGGTCAAGTAATCGCAAAATCATGGAACGGTTCCGACACTGTCACGTCACTGTTATGTATAAATATACCTTAATACAATATATATATTTATTATATGTTACCGGAAATAATGACAAACAGGAAATTATGACAATTCCTAATACATTTAAGAAATTATATCATTGCCTAGAAAATGTTATCATTTCCTAACAATAGCAGGCAATGAAACCTATACATTCACAGTAAAATACATATTAATTTTATATTTATATTTTTATACATATTATAGTTTATAATTTTTATTGTTAATATTATTAATTTTTACTACTTTCAACTGCATTTTTATTTTCACTTGACAAACTTCCACGACAATTGACCGGTAATAAAACAGAATAAATGCTATATGCGATAACTACATGGAAATTCTGTACCTATAAATATAAACAATCGGTACGTGGACTTTTATCAGTACAGATTACAAGGTTCTGGAGTTTACATTTGTTCAGAATAAAAATTATGTATCGATACCATTGTCTAATAAACTACGGAAATTTCGTCAAAAGTAAACTAAAATATTATTTCTTAAGGTATTTAGGCATAGTCATCGTTACCTGAAATGTCAACATATAAATAAATAACGTCGTATAATATGGCACCATAATGTTTTCTGTAACCATTTATGGAATTATTTGAGAATTTTTCACCGATATGTATATAGTGGAACTAAAAATTTAAACGTTCATAGTTCTACAAAACATTCTAGAAACGACGAGGAAACATATTTTACTGTTCTACTAACATTGGAACTTAAAACGTATATTCCTGGAACGTTTGAAACGTTTTTTTGAACGGTGGAGCATATGCACAATCAATATCAATCAATATTTGGGGTGTTAAGCCCACCCCACCAAGAAAAAAAAACTATAGACTACTGGACTATTCGCACCTATAATATTACCTGTGTAACAGAATTAGAATAGTTATACAACCTTTAATAGATAAACGCATTATTAATTTAAAGTTTTTGGTTTATAAGAAGATTTACTGTGGATACACTCAATTGTGTATTATAAAATATAATATTTCGTTCAACCAAAATCCTGTCTCGGGCTTGTATAGCAAAAAAAGAAATATATAAAAATAAAAGTCAAGTACTTATTATTTATATACATATTTATTCATAGATACGAGTGGGCAAACCGGGATAATATCCATGTATAATTCAAAATACTTTCTCTAGAAAATGTTTTTTTTTTTTTTTTTAAAGACGTGTGCGAATAATATTAATATACCTATATACCTACGTACACCGTAACGTTTACAGTGAAATAAATACTCAAGGATTTTTTTTTAATTTTTAATTTTTGAAAAAGTCGAGTTGGAAAGTGTAAAAATTGAATAGAATATGGGCGGCAAACACGAGTTACATAAAATTGAATGCGAAATATTACAATAACAATAATAATTCATAAGTAATTAACAAAACCGAATATAAGCCAATACAGCTATTATTTCACGTGTGTATTGTATAATAATATGCAAAAGCGCCTGTATACAATAATAATATGCAGTAATAAAAAAACAACTTAAAACCAAAAAGAACCTTCTTTAATAGAGTTATCTACTTATTGATTTACGTATAGTAGTAGTAGTAGTAGTATCGCCTCAATTCAACCGACGAAATTATTAAATTTAAAACTCGAAATTGTGTCGTTTAGGTTGAAATTATAATTTAAAAGCAAGTATTACGATTAACGGTACAGGTATTTAGAGAATATTTTCGACGGCGTAACGTCACTTTTTTTTTTTAGGAATATAATATATTGCCAAAAACAAATAGTAGGTGTTACGACAGTGTTGTTTTTTGCTTAATTTTTTTCTCATGTGTAAAAAAAAAAAACGACAAATTGACGGAGCCCTTGAAAATATTCGTCATTTTTAATTTTCCCACCGTCAAAGTGCGTGTGTCGTTTATAAGTATAACGAATATAATTTTGCTACACAATCACCCGTTGGTTGGACAGAATAAATTCGGGTGATGATAAATCCAATACCGCGTAACCGTGTGTAGAAAAACAGGAGAGATAATATTATTCCAGTAACTATTTAAATAAGAAATATATTATTATAAAAAAATAAAAAACCAGAAGGTAAATCGCTAACGGAATCGGTGAACAGATCGTTGGTAATCATGGAAATTGTTGATGACTTACAGGAAATCACGGTGATCATTAGGAAAATCCGTTTGAAATCCGATGTACACAATCACTGATTAATCAGTGTTTTAGAGTGTTTCGAGTATTCATTATTTCGCGCAGATAGAAGCGGAAAGATATAAATATTTGTATAATATTCGAATACAGAAAAACGTAATCAAGTTGTGGGTTAGCTATGCGGTAGGTTGGTAGGTAGGTATAAGTATTATATTATACAGACAAAAAAAACGAAACGTTTTTACATTTCCGACGTTTATTTGCAATTAAATCGTACAAATCGAAACGCGGGTAATGAAATGGAAAAAATATGCGAGACACGAATTATTATCAAATCAGTGACACGAAGAAATAAAATATAGACACTGTATACAAATAGCATATGTGGCGACTGTGTGGCCATTTGGCCGGAGCTCACGTATTATCAGCTCACGTATTATAAATCACATTAGATAATAGAAAATTCAACTTGATTTCTCATACAATTTTTCTTTTCTACATTGGAAATTTAGCAAATTTAAAACGCCGATGGCTTAACGTCGTCACAAACGCCCGATCGTTCCGAAAGAGCCAAACATTTCAAGTTTTCGAAATTTTCAAATCCCCGTAGTGGTTTTTTCAAATTTAATTTCTAAAACTAGTGTTTAAACTTGATACGATATAAAATTCGACCGTACCTCTATACTAATATTTATTTTTGTTTTTTCTGGCGTGGACACACGAGTGTTTTACCGAAATGCCCGTTATTTGATAATTATTCAATCAGATATTACGATATTGTCCGGAATCGTATTTATTCGCAGCTTTATCAAAATAATGTACGCCCGGACGTTGGTCCCGCTGCTTAAAATAAACGCCGATGTTAATATAACCTAATTAAAAAAAAAAGAAACATATTTACGTCACACTTATTTTGTTTTTACTTATCGTTTTTGTGCACTAAAAAAATATAAGCCGCCCGTATAAAATG